TGGTTGTGGAGGTGGGAGGTACTGGGTGGGGTGGATGTTGAGTCAGATGGCTGATGGCACAAATGAGCCTCCAAACCACTGTGAGGCTCGGGGCTGGATCAGTCTGTGGCTGAAAGCTCCTGAGCTGTTTCAGCTCAGCATAGAGAGGATGAGAGGGGTTGTCTGTGAAAGCTTTCAGCTTCCCTCTCATCCTCTTCTCAGTGACGATCTTACCAGATAAAATGTCTGATTTCATTTCAGCTTTTCTAAAACAATTGTAATGTACGTTGCTGTAATGTTTTTTTGCAATGAAATTGAAGGAGAAAGTGACATTTTTAATACTTCATTAAAAATCAAAAGCAACTTGTTCCAGTGAGAATAAAATGTCAGTGTAAAGAGGGTCAATGTCCTCATCCTAACTGCTGGAAACAAGGAAGTGAGTTTGGTGACGTATGGCTCAGTATTTTGTGTAAGTAACTACAATAATTTGTCAAATTAGTAGAAATGTTGCAGTGGCTGGACAAAATTGCAGGGATTGATTAAATTTGTATTCAAAAGAGAGACAGAGAGAGAACGAGAGAGACAGAGAGATGATGAACATGAAGACGACAACGATGGGGGACAATACAAGAATGGGGTATTAAGGGTTGCAGCTTCCTGGAGGGACTGATCAATAATAATCACATTTCACTCTGTGAATATAGACAAAAAGTTATGAAAACCTTAACTTTATTTTTAAGTTTGTCTATGTCTCACGGTTCAATTGTTTTTAATGATTTGATTAGAACCCATACTGATCAGATATTGATCACATATTGATTACATACAGTTGTATGTAAAGTATGGCCACAGGTTGACTAATAACCGATTTTGGTGGTGTTTTCATTGAAAGATGTAAACAGCCTCTGAAGGGTCTGGAACACTAAACACAATATTTGCAGCAAACATTTATACCTTGTTTTGTTTTGTTTCATAAATTGAACAAAAATCTCAAAAATAAAAAATAATCAAAAGTTTGACAACCTTCTGCGGCCTTAGATTGTTTAACGGGGTCTTAGACCTTTATCAGCTCTTTAGGCCTGAGGCAGGTCAACCGCTGTGATCAGGAACCATCAGCTGGGCCTTTCCAAACAATCTGACTCTGTGTGTGAACACTCAGCAACCAGGGCTTTCTCTCAGCAGCTGTGTGACAGTTTCTGATGTCCAGAGTGCAACAACTGTCTCCACAGTGTGAAATGGAACTAACATATTGCAGTTTAGGGGGAACTGATTCCACTAAATAGCAACAAATTCTGGAAGAAACATCACAGTATCTGTAAAACAGCTGAAAGCTTCTACAACAGGATAAAGACTCTAAACTGACCTCGAAATCCACCATGGTCCTCCAGAGACCCAGCTGAAGGTTTCTGGCACTGACTGAAATATCACTGACAGTGTGTGGGTGGAAGAGAGCTAAGATAAGATAAAATGTTTCTTTATTGATTGAGAAATTTAATGTGAATGTAAGATGCCCGATAATGTTACAGAGTGAGAAACCTTTTACGGAAGAATATGACAAATCCCAAACACACAAACTGACACTAAACACTTAAAGTATAAGCTGCTCAAACCTTTACACAATGTTTTCATTGTTTTTTTATTTTTTTGTTCAGTTTATGAAATATAAGGAAACAATACCTGAATGTTTGCTGCAGATATTGTGTTTTATGATTCAGACCCTCCAGTCTGTTTACACACAGCTGTAGGACTGGGTTGGTTTCACAGCACTAATCTGATGATCAATATATCTGAACACAGAATCACAAACCTCCAGACTGCAGCGAAGCAACCGCAGCTGGTTCAGCCTCCACAGCGCAGCGCCGTGGCACAGGGGGCCGTTCAGATCCGCATTAAGAACTCACAGAGTTCTGGAGACCGCCTCAGTCAGTCCAAGTCCATGGTCCTGCAGGAGTCCGACCTTCCCCAGAAACCTGTGAGTAGACCTGAACTTCTATCACTTGACCCCCTAACCCCAGAAACCTGTGAATAGAATCTGAACCTCCATCCTGGCAAACTTAATTTCTTCATTCAGTTCTTTCTGTCTTTAGATCTCTCGGCATCGCAGGAACCAGTCTCAGCACAATGTCCTGGTCTCTGTAGGTTCTGAAACTTTAGAACCACTGGTGAGTACAACAATGTAAAAACATCTCCAACTACAACACTGTAAAAGCATCTACAACATGGTTTAGTGCTGTTAATGTTCTAACAATGAGTGTATATGTGTGACCAGGTGCAGTTGAAAGGTGAACACCTGAATGTGGCAAAGATCTCAGAAAGTGGTAAGAAGCACAGGAAGAACTGGACTTTGATGTGGAGCGTTCTGACCTCAGACCAACTGCTGTTATATAAAGAGAGACAACAAGAAACCAGCCAGGTAGAAAATACTATTTCTGTATCTACTCTACTATATAATAATATAATATAATAAAGTAAATCTTCTTCTTCTTCTTCTATATCTCTACTGTATCTCTCCTGTATCTCTACTACACCGATCAGCCATAACATAATGACCATGTGGGCACCCTGGTTGTCATCATAACGTTATGCAGCCCCAGACCAACAGACTTTCTATCAGCTTGTCTGTTGTATCAGACCACACGGAACAGCCTTCACTCCCCATGTACATCAATGAGCCTTGACCCTGTCTCTGGTTCTGTTCCTTCCTTGGACCACTTTTGATAGGTACTGACCTCTGCAGACCGGGAACCCCCCACAAGAGCTGCAGGTTTGGAGATGTTCTGACC